TAATTAAAAAATAAAATAAATTAATAAAATAAAATAAAATAAAATAAAATAAAATAAAATAAAGAACCAGGTCACTCAGATTCACTCACCTGGAAGCTGCTGGATTTATTTTATACTTCAGATTATTTACAACTTTAATCTTTTTTTTTTGTACTAAAGCAAAAGTTCAGCTCAAACAGAAACTGATTCACAGACTCTCACTCTGTGTCTCTGGATATAATAACTGTTTTTGGCAGGTTGTTCATCACAGACATTTTACACATGATTAAAGATTAAAGTCAGACGTCCAACCACAGATTAATTAGTGAGTGATAATTATCTGACGCTGCAGTTACCTCCAACACTTTCTCCTCTGTTCCCTCTTTCCCTTCATCGTCCCATTCCTCCTCATCATCAGCTACTTCTACTTCCTCCTCCTCCTCCTCCTCCTCGAAGCAGCCGACAGCGTCCACAGTGATCAGCTCCTCCTCCTGAGCCTCCTGCAGGTGCACCTGGGAGGAGACAGTCAGCGAATCAAACTCACCCTCTGCACCGCGACATGTCACAGGTAAAACATGTTACAGTGAACCGTTCCAACCACTGGACATCTGTTTCAGGAAGTCACAGGTGGGACTCAGACCCCCCCCGATCTGAGGTCACAGAGGTGAGGGGGCTTCAGAAGATGATCCGAGTCAGGATCAGAATCAGGATCAGGATCAGGATCAGAATCAGGATCAGGATCAGAATCAGGATCAGAGTCAGAATCAGGATCAGGATCAGAATCAGGATCAGGATCAGGATCAGAATCAGAGTCAGAATCAGGATCAGGATCAGAATCAGGATCAGGATCAGGATCAGAATCAGAGTCAGAATCAGGATCAGGATCAGAATCAGGATCAGGATCAGAATCAGAGTCAGAATCAGGATCAGGATCAGGATCCGAATCATCACAAAATATAAAAATAAGTCCTTATACTATGATATTTAAATAAAAAAAATAAAAATATGTAAGTATATGAGTTTAAAATTGCACTTGTCTGAAAGTGTCTCTGGGGTTGTGCATCAATGGGTGAATGGTTATGTGATGTGTGTATTCAGGTGTGTTAGTCTGGACGGAGATCGATTCAGTTTTAAAAAGAAAACGAATCAGCTGTGTGAGGCGGGACGTCGCCTCTCACAGAGGGCATGGCCTCTCCAATTTGCCCCACCCCCTGCTGACCTGCTGTTTGTGTTCTGGAGACTTCATGTGCTCCACAAACTTCCTGGGAGTCCTGAAGTGACGTTTACACACCGGGCAGAAGGGCCGACACAGCTGTTTACACATCTGGATTAGAGACACACACAAACACAGAGTCAGCAACAAACCAGTCCAGGATCAGGACCAGGATCAGGACCAGGACTGAAAAAACTTGATCCAGACTGTCCTGGTTGTGACTATATTTGAATTAGTTTGATAAACCTGTTCCCATGGAAACCCTTTGACCAATAAAAACCAGTGACAGCTGTGATGTCATCAGCACCATCTCTCACCTTGTGTTGTTTCATCCGTCGGTGGATGATGACATCACCACTGAAGTGAGTCTGACAGGTGTCGCACCAGCGCTGAGCGTCAGGCCGACGCCCCCTGGAAGACAGGAGAAGGGTTACACAGTGTGTCTATGTGTGTGTGTGTGTGTGTGTGTGTGTGTGTGTGTTCATACCTGTCCTGGAATGTGTGTGTATTGAGGCAGATGGAGTGTGTGATCTCTTGCAGTTTCTTCATGTGCTCTGCTCCTGACATGTGTTCATGAAACACCTGGACACACACACACACACACACACACACACACACGGTTAGTGTGATTGTGGTGTTCCTAATAAAGAGCTCAAGTGTGTGTTCAGGTTCCTCACCTGCAGAGAACGGCAGGTGAGGTTACAGACGTGACAGTGGAGTCCACCTGTCTGTCTGTCCGTCTGTCCAAATTCCCTGCTCTCACTGCGCTGCTGGATGGTGACCTTTAGTGACCCCACACTCTGCAGCTACACACACAGACACACACACACACACACACGTTCACTAACAGTCATGGATGACTCTTAGGTCACACCTGAGTGAAGGGTCATCACCTCGGCTGCTCTGCTGTCCTCGCTGTGCTCTGCTGACTCCTGCTGGTCGGGGGGAGGAGCAACGCCGTCTACACACGCACGCACGCACATACACACACACACACACACACACACACACACACACACACACACACACACACACACACACAATAAATATAATCCCATCCAGGAGCAGGAGAAAGTTTTGTTGCTCTGAGGTAAACTCACCTGCTGTGGAGCAGCTCTCACTTCCTGGTTGATCACATGACCCTGGGACCGGAGCAGCTGACGCCTCAGCTCTGTGGGAAATACAAAAACTCTCACTCTCTGTTGTTTTTGTTGCTCGTCCATCACTGTGGTCCAGACTGAGAAATCTACAACTAATCACCGTTCGCACCTTCTCCCTGTCCTGACCCTGTGACCCCTGACCCTGTGACCCCTGACCCTGTGACCCTATGAGGAAGAGGAAGTAGAAGTAGCTGATGATGAGGAGGAATGGGACGATGAAGGGAAAGAGGGAAAAGAGGAGAAAGTGTTGGAGGTAACTGCAGCGTCAGATAATTATCACTCACTAATTAATCTGTGGTTGGACGTCTGACTTTAATCTTTAATCATGTGTAAAATGTCTGTGATGAACAACCTGCCAAAAACAGTTATTATATCCAGAGACACAGAGTGAGAGTCTGTGAATCAGTTTCTGTTTGAGCTGAACTTTTGCTTTAGTACAAAAAAAAAAGATTAAAGTTGTAAATAATCTGAAGTATAAAATAAATCCAGCAGCTTCCAGGTGAGTGAATCTGAGTGACCTGGTTCTTTATTTTATTTTATTTATTTATTTATTTATTTTATTTTATTTTATTATTCATTTTT